GAGTAAGTATGTTTCCTTTCATCTGCGGTGTAGTCACAGAGCATTATAGAAATCTGTTTTCTAAATTGATTTCCTGGTCTTAAAAACTAAGTAAAATGAAATAAAATAAAATTTTCCAGGTCTTTGCCACACGTATAGACACGAAAACCACAGTGGGCAAGATCGGTATCTCAAAATGGGGATGAAGAGAGCAACTAGATACATAAAACAACCGTAAAGATATTTTTGAGACACATTTTTGGTCTTATTTCTAGGAGTTTATCCTGCAGATATGCAAGCTGTGCATGCATCCATATGAACAAAATACTCAGTGCAGATTACACTAGGGAGGGCTTCAGCAGAGCCAGGTGAGGGAGAAAGTCCTGCTGTGCTCCCCCCCACACACAAAAATGAATAAACATTTTTTTTAAAAAAATTAGAATGAGAGAAGTTACAAGAAATTTCTAGAACTTTGAAAATTCATGCCCCTGTGAGCTCCTTTAGAAATGCTTCCTAATTGCTCCCCCTCTTGCTTTACAACTCCCAGCAGCTCCCAGCACTTGACGGGTAGAGAGGGGTGCTAAGGGGTTCATACCTTTATGAATTTCATACACTTCGCATTGCATGAAGGCAAATAAGGAGCTCTGAGGTTACCCTTCATTAGCTTCATGATAAATCCACCTCTGTTTGTAATAGAAAAACACTGAAAGCCCAAATAACTATCAGACTGAGAATTAATTGTGGTATTTTCATATAACAGGATATTAAAAAGAATGAGCTGGAGCTACATGGTTATATATAAAAAATTAAATTTGAGTTGCAGAATAATTTATACAGCAAGTTACCATTAATTTAAAGTTTAAAAATATGTAAAACAGGGGCGCCTGGGTGACTTAGTCGGTTAAGCATCCGACTTTCGCTTAGGTCATGATCTCACGGTTTGTGGGTTCGAGCCCCGTGTCGGGCTCTGTGCTGACTGCCAGCTCGGAGCCTGGAGCCTGTTTCAGTCTGTGACTCCCTCTCTCTCTGACCCTACCCTGCTTGCGCTGTCTCTCTCTCTCTCTCCTAGAAATAAATAAAAAAAACATTAAAAAAATATGTAAAACAATACAAGAGACTATAGATAAATGCATATATACATAAATGTATATATACCCAGATATGTATATTATTACATAATTATTTGTGTGTATGTATATAATCAAAATATAAAAACATGGAAGGAAATGATAAACACTGAATTCTGGATAGTGGTTACCTCTATCCAGGAGGAAAAGGGGGAAATAGAATGCAGAGCTATACAAAGGAGATCCATTTCCTGGAGAGAAAGATCTCAAGGAGATAGGACAAGATATTAGGATTTTATATGACAAATCTAGGTGGTAGCTACCAGGTTTTATTGCATTATTTGGAAACTCTTCCATATGCAGGAAATAGTTTACATGTTTACAAAAAAAAAAAAGCCTCTTGCACTAATCAGGAAAAGAAGATGCTTTCCTTCTATCAGCAGACTTGATTCCTCTATTTTTTTAAGTTTATATATTTATCTTGAGAGAGAGAGAGACAGAATCCCAAGCAGGCTCCACACTGTCAGCACAGAGCCTGAAACAGGGCTCAAAATCATGAAGCGTGAGATCATGACCTGAGCAGAGATCAAGAGTCGGGTGGTAAACCAAATGACGTACCCAGGCTCCCCTGATTCTCCTATTTTTAATATTTAATGTCTATTTTTATTGAGGTATATATAAGTAAAATGCACAAATCTTAAGCTTAAAGCTCAAGGAATGTTTACATATGTGATCTACCCAGATCACTATATAGAACGTTGTCACCTCTCTTCAGCACATACAATTCCCCATTTCCTTGCTGTTACTCATCCTTTGGCTTCAGCTTAGATGTCACTTCCTCTAGGAAAACTTCCTTGCTCCCCCAACACTTGGTTACTACTGTGCCTTTCCTTTCATTGACCACTTGCTTGTCAGCTTCTCTTTCTAATCATGAGCTGCTTTTCCCAAGGTTCCAAACTACAAATGTGTCTTCTTGATCTGCTTTGTGCCTGTGCCTTTCCATTTTTCAAGTTAAATTGTATTCTCCCTTGTTAGCTTCTTCTGAGAAACTCAGGATCCCTTATAATATTCATCCATTCCATGTCTACACCTAATGTCTCAGGAGTTTCTGCATCAAATACTATGTTTCTCTATGTTTTGAGGTCATGACCTTGAAATCAAATTTTGGGTGTTGAGAATTTCATGAGTGGATTCAAGCATAATGAAAACCCTGAATACGTAGTTGTATCTTATGACTACACTGGGTATCAGAGTAATACCTGCCTTTTAGAAGTCCTGAAGCTTTGCAAGTTAAGCTAAAACCTGTCATGCTGAGCCTGATTAAAACCTTCTCTAAAGCTGACAAGTAATGCTGACAGTGTTCATTGCCCAGACCTGAGTTATCAAAAGGCAACAATAACACTTTTCACTTCAGTTCCTCACTCCGGGCACCTAGGGAACTCCTGGATCATAGACAACCTGGTAGGCATGCTAAAGAAGACAAGTCCTCTTTACGTTGTAGGGGGAGCACCTGAAGAGCGCTTTAACCCCTGGAGTAACGAGTGGGGAAGACAGTGGACTCTGGTGCCAGACTACGGGTGTAACTGGGTAGAAGCTCAAAACCTCTCCAAGCTTCAGTTTCTCCTTTGGAAACTGGGGATGATGATGCTAACCCTACTTCAGAGGGATATTGTGAGGCATAAGTGAGTTAATATGTGAAAACTTCCTGGCACATAGTAAGCATTCTATAGCAGTATTATTATCAGCATAATAATATATTAATTTTGGAAAGATCACTCTAGCTACTGTCTAAAAGGTGATGAATCTAAAAGAGGCCGTGTCATTCCAACACCGAAAGCAAAAATAAAAAAACACGATTTGACATAGCACAAGATAAAGGGAGTGGTTTGAACTTAGCACCAGACACATGACTGCTATAGTCAACTTTCAGTTATATACATTTTCAATTAACTACTGCTGATTTTCAGTTTCACCCACTGGCTTTCCTTGTCTTCATCATACTAGTAGGCCTTGTTCTCCTGCTTAGAAATTAACTAACACTTTGGCTTAAACAGGCAGTAGGTAAGAGGGTAAAGGAAATCAGGATCCTTACTTTCTGAGAGACCACAGTTCTTACAAGGTCCGTTGAGGGAGAAAGGGTGGAGAAAGAAGGCAAGACAGAAAAACAGCCTAGGTAGGAAGTGAGCCGATTGGTCAGTACTCTTCAACACTTAGACAAGGTAGGCATAGTCAAAGAGGAGATTTGAATTGAAAAACATGTCATTGCTGTAATTGCGTTCTTCCCAGATTTTGTAGCCAATACACCAAAACCATGCTTACTTTTTTATTAAAGGCCCAAAGCTACATAATTCTGAAGGTATTTGGACATTTCCATATTTTTTAAAATTTTATTTAAGCAATCTCTGTGCCAAATGTTGGGCTCGAACTCATGACCCCAGGATCAAGAGTCGCATCCTCTCCCAACTGAGCCAGCCAGGTGCCTCTCAATATTTCTTTTTGCAAGGTTCAGGAAGTCTCCAAGAACCATGGTGTTTTTGTGGAAGAAAATTTTCAGTCTTTCTTGAGAACAGTTCTGCAATTCTTCCAGGCTATTTGCTCTTCTGGCAACCTTTCCTGCTCACCTTTTGGCAGGAAATACTCTTTTTTACATTCCAACATTACAAAATTGTAATCCTCCTCAAAAACCCACCTTATTTCGTTCTCTAGACTACCACTCCATGTGGTTCATGTATTTATGTGTACTTACTTGTTTTTATTGCAATAATTTGTTCGTTGCCATTTCCTAGGTCCAGACCATGAGCTTCTTGGTGGAAGAGACCATGATTTTATTTTCCATCTTAAGACCGTGTATATAGTACAATAGTTTAGAGCATGGAGCCAGAGTTTCTGAGTTTAAATCTCACACTTACAGGATATATATTGAGTAAGTCATTTCCCTTTCCTGTGCCCAAGATCCTCTATCTGTAAAATTTCTTTTAATTAGATAGAAACCTTTTCATGATTGTCACTGAATTACAGGCTTTATTTTTTAAATGTTTATTTATTTTGAGGACGGGGGAGAGGGAGCATAGAGAGAGGGAGACACAGAATTCGAAACAGGTTCCAGGCTCTGAGCTGTCAGCAGGGAGCCCGACGGAGGAGGTGGGGGCTCGAACCCACGAATCGAGAGATCATGACGTGATCCAAAGCATGACTCTCAATCGACTGAGCCACCCAGGCACCCCCACAAAAAAAAAAATTTTTTTTTTAAATTGGTGGTGGTGGTGGTGGGTGGATAAATTTAAAAGGGTCATTGTTTCCTGGTCAAACAAATGCAGATAAACTGTGCTGGAAAAAAAAAAAAAGAGAGATGTGAAGATTCTGGCAGGCAAATGCCTCTAGCCTCTCCCCAACATTTTCACACTGTCGTGAATTATGTCGTGAATTATGTCTGAATCGCATAAACAAAGTCTCTTCAGGGACTCTCAGAGGGCTACCTTCTCCAACAAGCCATCTCTGGCGTCCCATCACTCTTTTATGCACTTGTCTGTTTAGATGTCTGATACCAAACAACTGTGACTTGAGCAAGGGTCTGTGTCTTCTGGTCTTTGTGCTCAGGACTCAGGAACGACCGATATCCTCAGGCTCATCCTCTCAGCAACTAAGTCTCCTGGAGGCTTTCGCTGGGCATCAGTCACTCCTGGCCTCTCAGTGTCCCTCGGCATCAACTGGAAGCTTTAGAAATGAAGACCTCTCAGACCTCCTCCCAGCAGTGCTCCTCAGTTGCTCAGGCAACACCGACAGCCAGAATGCTTTAGCTCCTGGCCCCGCCTCCCACTGCTCAGCCAGCACCTGTCTCGGGCCCGCCCCCTCCGTAAACTGGAGTCTCGAGTGCGCACGCTCCTTCTTGGCCCCCTTGTAGCGTGATGACGTGGACGTCGGCGTGTGGCGTAGTGGCGGCGGCCGCGCGTGTTTCAGCTGGGGGAGGCGGTGTGGGCGCTGGGTTTGGAAAAGACGCGGGTCTCTGCAGTGTCGCGGCCGGCTTCGGCGTGTGGTTTTTTTTTAGGCTTAGGCAGCTGGCTGTGTTGTGTCCGCTCCTCCCTGTCCGCGGAGAGGGAAGCGGCCGAGTTGTCTGGGGACACAGCTGGAGCCCCTGAAGGGGAAGGGAGCAGCCGGGAGTGGGGGGTAGGGGGTGTGGAGAGCGTGACTGCAGGGCTGGGGTCTAGGACTGAGGAGCAGTCGAGAGGGGAGGGTCGCCGTAGGCAGAGGGCGCACCAGCCGGGATCCGGGCTGGTCCCGAGGAGGGCCCGGGGCAGCCGCGCGATGTTCGGGGCCCGGTGCCTGCTCCGAGCCCTGCGCTCCTGCTCCTCCGCTCCCTGCCCGAGACACAAACCTTCCGCCAGACTGAGCGTTCGGGACGCGCTAGGGGCCCGGAGCACGAATGGGGAGCGCGTTAAGGTCCAGGTTGGTGTATGGGAAGGGGATGGTTATTTTTCATTTTAGTGACTTGCACGCCACCTCCTCGTCTAGGCTTGCCCTGTCCGGTCAGACAAAACGACAGGCAGAGAAAGGAGGAAATGTAGACAGTCGTGCGCATTCACTCCTTTCTCCTTTCCTTATCGTTACTTTGCGCACAACTGTTGGGATTGCCTATGAAGTGCTGGAACTTTGCTTTCACGGTACGAGTGCATTGTCAGTAAACTTGTTAGTTACACGGCAGAATAAATTGACGAGCTGCTTTTTCCTTTATCCCTCATAATGAACAACCAGTTACAAAGTGGCTGCCTTGAGCTATCTCCTTGAGAGCGGACACCGTGTCTTAGCGTTCTTGGTATTCCCACGTCTGACAGTAAAAATTTGTTCAACTAAACATTGGCTTTTATTCAACCTTCCGGCATCCCGAAGCCAAAAAATAGGGGTTCGCATATAACGTATGTTTAATACATAAAGAAAACGAGTAGAGTGTAGCAGTTTGAAACAACCCTGGGGTCAGGCTGCCTGGGTTCAAATCTGTGCCACTTAGTGGCTCATTAGTTATGGGTCTCTTCTATAATTATTAAGTATGGTGTCTTCTGTGCTCTAAACCTTTTTGCTGCTTAGAGCAGTGAAGCTAATAATAGCTTTAACCTCATAGAATCGTGAAGATTAGGTGAGATGATAGATATTAAGAAATTTAGAACAGTGGCCCACACTCAATCAGTTGTAGCTGCTATTATTTGTCTTGCTAATATTTGCAACTTCACCTAGAAGATTTCCCTTTAACGGAGGTAGACCAGGCAAGGTGATTTGACCCCCTTTAGGTTGCTGAAATACTGATGCAGTTAATTTTGTTGTCCTTGAATATCCTTGATTTTTAGCAGTGTGATCCCTCTGCCTTTTTTTTGGTTTCATATTTTTCCATGATCCAAATCAGGCCCTTTTTTTGTATTCATCTATTACTTTGACACGTGTACATCAATGATCCCTTCTGAGTGGTAGTCAAGAAAGAATGCAAAGATAAAAAAAACAAAAGCTACTGCCTAGGTTAGAGGCTCTCGTTTTAGTGCCATGTGGTCTAAGATAGTAGCTACCGGCCATTTGTGGCGCTGAGCTCTTGAAATGTGGCTAGTCCAAACTGAAGGGTAACTAAATGTAAAATACACATCAATTTTGGAGAACAAAAAAGAATATAAAATACCTCAATATATGCTTATATTGATTACATGTTGATAATATTGGCATAATGGGTTAAAATATTAAAATTAAATTTACCGGTCAACTTTTAATGTGACCGCTAAAACAAGCAAAATTACTTACATGGCTCACATATTTTTGTGGGATAGCCCTGGCTTAATGGCTAAGACAAGTAATTGGGGGTAACGTGATAAGTATTGGTGGAATAAAGAACTTTGAGAAAAGAGAGAGGGACGACCTTAACTTTGTGAGGTCAAGGAAGACTTCTTGTGTGATGTTTCACTGGCGTTCTGAGGGATATGTTCCTCAGGCAGAGAAACTGGGGATGGGGTGGAGATCTCATTCCGGAAAAGTTTAATAATAACATGAACTTTGAGCTGAGAACTGTATTTGAATGCTAGCTCTACTCCTCAGGAACTGTGATTTTAATTATTTAGAGAGGTTGTCCTAACTTGTCCTAATATGTTCTTCATCTCTAAAATGAGTATATTCACTTCATTAAGTTCTTGTAAGGATTAAATGTAAAATATTCACAAAGAGCTTAGAGCAGAAGCACATTAAACAGTGTTCCACAAATGTTAAGTTTTACTAACAAGTGAAAAGCAAGACAGTGGTTCTTTAGGAATTACTATTGATTACACATAACCAAAGATCATCTGTCTTCAGGGAAATGTGGGGAGGTGAAACCAGAAAGATGGGCACACTCAGTTGTGAAAGACCGAGGCAATTTACACACTTTTTTTCAGTGTAGCCCTAGAAAAAGACCAAGGGCTTTCTGGTAGACCTACGTCCAAATTCAGGCTCTGTTTACCAGCAGTGTGACCTTTGGCAAGTTGTTTGACTTCTCAGGGCCCAGGCTCTTCACTTGTGAGACGAGTTATGATGATAGTCCACAGAGATGTGAGGAAAAGATGAGATGGTATGTGAAGAAGGTAGTAAAACATTTGTCACATAGATTTTTAGTGCATGGTAGACCTCCTTCCACTGAAAAACTTTAACGGACTTTCTACTGTGTCCCTGACAATGGCCTTCAAAGCAACGAAAGCATGGTTCTTAACCCTTCACAATGTGATGGACATGAAAATAAGGAATGGAAGAGCATTGTCTGTAGTGTGAGATGGGAACACAAGGTCAGGGTCAATACAGTTTTTCTAAGTAGAATCCTCTCGCTTTTCCCAAGCATGTCTGATAGCTAATCAAACACCATCAGTTTCACAATTGTTCAGTGTCTGCTAGGATATTCTCTCTTCTGTGCTAGTTAAATATAAGTTGGATGTGATCTGTGAGAGCTGTTTTTAGTGTTACTGGTCTACTAGAAGACCTCATTTGTACTCACACATGCCTGTCATTTTAAATTCAGAGTGTCTTTGAAAAAGCTTATGTACTAAATATATGTCACAGTGAAAAGCTTCTTGAGAAGTCTGTGTGGTATTTTGTAAAAGGAAAAGAAAAATCCCATTAAGGTGTTTCTGGCCTATAACTACATAATCTCCCTCCTGAGAGTTCAATATAAAAGGAGACAGGGACCCAAATAATATGCCTTGTTATTATTACCTGGAATAAATACCTGGAATAGCCAATATTGGGAAAATTGATGATATAAGTTAGGTTCATCAGCCTAATGGAATGTTAGGCATGTATTCATAATGATGAGGTATGTTTTGTTTTGTTTTAATTAAGTTTAGTTATTCATTTTGAGGGAGAGACAGAATGAGCAGAGGAGGGGCAGGGCAACAGCGCATGGAGCCTGATGTGGGGCTCGAACTTGTGAACTGTGAGATCATGACCTGAGCTGAAACCAACCTAAACGCTCAACCAACTGAGCCACCCAGGCGCCCCTGAGAATGATGAATTTTATTAACAAAACAAAAAGGTGGAATGCCAAAGCTGTATCTCCGTGGGATCAGAATCCTGTTGAATTATATATGCATATGGGTGAGGTAAAAGCAATCAATTTGTTAAGGCAGGACTAAGAACGTTTTTTTCATTTAGTCTTGTGTGTGCATGTGTAATGAAAATGTAAAATGTTTACATGTTTCAAACTCCCATTTAGAAATTTTTCTTCCTTAGGGATGGATTCGTTCAGTCCGATCCCAGAAGGAAGTCTTGTTCCTGCATATAAATGATGGATCGTCTTTGGAAAGCCTTCAAGTTGTAGCTGATTCAAGCTTTGATAGTAGGCGAGTTTTTTTAACAAAAGAATCTTTTTTTTTTCATCTCCTCTGTTCCCCTTTTCCCTAATCCAGTGTTCATATATATTTTTTTTAATGTTTGTTTTTGAGAGAGAGAGCATGAGCAGGGTGGGGCAGAGAGAGAGAGGGAGACAAAGGATCTGAAGTGGGCTCTATATTGACAGTAAGCCCGATGTGGGACTTGAACTCATGAATCATGAGATCATGACCTGAGCCATAGTCAGATGCTCAACCAAATGAGCCCCCCAGGTGCCCCAGAGTGATCTTTCTAAAAAAAAAACAAAAACCTGCTTTTCAAAGCTTCGAGGCCAAGTCCACATACTTGGAATCAAGATCCTTCAAGCTTAGGCCTTTCTATTTTTATTTTTAAGTTTATTTTTTTATTTTGAGAGAAAGACAGTGCAAGTGGGGGAGGGACAGAGAGAGGGGGAGAGAGAGAATCCCAAGCAGACTTCGAGGTAGTAGCATGGAGCCCAACTCTAGGCTCGATCCCACACACTGAGAGATCATGACCTAAGCCGAAATCAAGGGTCAGACGCTGAACTAACTGAGCCACTCAGGCCCTCCCAGGCCTTTCTTTTTTTAACATCTTCACATAATAATATCCCCTACTTATCCTTTGCTTCAGTCTCTCTTAATTATTTGCTGCACATTTAAGGGTGAAACCTCTATCATTAAATACTGTAATGTTCTGATAGCAAGTTTTATATTAAAATGAGGGTTCTGTATAATGATATCTTGTTTATGCTGGTTTGTTGTTACTACAGAGAACTGGCTTTTGGGAGTTCTGTGGAAGTTCAAGGGCAGCTGGTGAAAAGTCCATCCAAAAAGCAGAATGTGGAACTGAAGGCAGAAAAAATTGAAATTGTTGGGAATTGTGATACCAAGGTATGCTCTGTGATACTTTTATGGAGACTATTTGGGCATAATTTAAAACATTAGCAGTCTGTTCTAAGTGTGATTATTGGGAAGATGGCACTTAGAACATGTTTCAATTGTGACTTCCCAGATAATTGAAACCGGCCATGGAGCCAGAGGAATGTAGAGAACATAGCAAAAAGTGTGTAGATGGCTGAATTTATGACTGAAAGCAAAGTATTAATCGGTGTATCTCTTTGGACACCTGTCACAGTTAAACTGCCACTTTTAGAGTCATGCCCAGTTAACTTCAGTACAGAGACATACAAGGGCAGACTGTGTTCTGAGGAAAGCCCTGCCTAGAAATGACTTTTACAGGATCTAGAGCTATGTTGTCCCAATACAGTAGCCACTAGCCACCTGTAGCTGTGTTAACTAGTATTTAGTATTAATTAAGTTAATATTAAATCAGGTAATAAAATCAGTTCCTCAGTGACATTAGATACAGTTCACATGCAGCTGCTGGCTACTGGGCGTGGGTACGGAACCCTTCCATTTATCACAGAAAATTCTGTTGGACAATACTTATGCTCTGGCTGAGCAAGGATAAGAAATCCTACTTTAAGACATGCTCATGCCTGTTTTGCAAGTCTCTTTGTTAGTAGCTTTTATTCATCACCTGATAAAGAGGTTAGAGGGAATAAAATGAAAGGCTGTTAATCCATCCTCTGAAATTGGAGAAAATGAGGCCCAGGCAGGTGACATGACTTGCCCAAGGTTATATCACTGACTAGCGCCACTGCTGGAATGTATGTACTAGCCATTTGACTCCTCTGTAGTTGTGCTGTACTTACTTGTCTTCCAAATATTTGATGAACAAAACATAAGGAAATATAGGGAAATTGCATCAATTTAATTCACTTTTGTTTTTTTGGATAATTGGAAGAAAATAAAGGCAAGGAAATAAGAAAATGGTCACCTTTTTAAAAAATGTCCTTCTGAATAGTTTTCCTAGAAATACTAATTAAAACACTAATAAATAATTGACTTGTGAAATCAGGAATCAGGTTCTAAGATTTCTGAAAAGTGGAGTGTGAAAAATAATCTGGAATTCTGAGAAGAACAGAGATGTAACCAGTTTTGTTTTTGCTTTTTTTTTAGAGGGGTATATGATTATTAAAATGTGCCATGTGTTTTACCCTTTTTAAGCTGTTCTCTCTTGGCTTCTGTGGTTGTCATTCACCTATTCGTCCCCTTAATTTCATTGTCATTTTGTGAGTCATTAGGGAATTCTAATCCCCCAGGCAGTCCCCAAACCTCTAGTAATGTGGTCATATTTTGACTTCAGTAGGTATGGTGCTTATTTCTATTACGAAATAAATTAGCATGTGCACTAAAAGAAATAGGAAAGACTAAATGTAATAAGCTACCAGTTTGGCTTTTTTATTTCATTTCTCTGCTGTCTTTCTTATTGAAACTTTGCTTTTGGTCTAGAAGTTTGTTTTTGTCTTCTAAATCTCTTAACACAAGTATGTACAGGGTGGAATATTTCCACTTAGAGTCATAATTTGACATTTTTGTAAATATACAGTGCTCTGCCAATGACAGAAAGCTGTTGACCCTCCCTCATGTTCTTAGAAATGTTGATAAACAGTGAAAAACAGTGCCAATTGATTATAAATGATTGTGGGCTTTCAAGACATTTGGGTGATTTTAAAATTGAACGCCAGCTGTGTGTACACAGCTGTAGAAAACATAATCTTTAACATCTACAATATTCTGAACTCCTATGTGCCAAACAGTGGATTGTTTTGCATAATTATATCCTAATCTGTCTATTTGTAAGTGGTGACTGATATAAGCTAATGGATAGAAATGTCATAAATAACAGATTCGCCTCCGTAATTCTAACTTTGCCCAAGGTTCCACGCCCAAGAAGTAGTAGAACTAGATTCAAACGCACATCTCTGATTCCCACCCCACCATTCTGTTAACTTAGAATTAACAGGATCATGTTCACTTATGTTAAGAAATTGAGACAGAAAGCATTTTAATTTTGTTACAAAGCATCACTGTTTAACAAATGTTCTGGGAACTGATTTTATAGAATGTTATGTCTTAGCTTTTAATTTGTTTTTTCCATTTATTGTCAGGCTTTTCCTTTTAAATATAAAGAGAGGCCTCCTCTGGAGTATGTGAGGCAGTATCCTCACCTCAGGTGCAGGACTAATGCTCTGGGTTCTATACTGAGGATTCGCAGTGAAGCCACAGCTGCTATTCATTCTTTCTTTAAGGTGAGGTGCTTCCTGTGCTTCTAGCTGCTCTTTTTCTTTTTCTTCCTAGCTGTTCTTTCTTGTGAAGAAATTGAGTAATTGTAACCCTGGAGTATTATCTTGAAAGTTCTGTTAGTTACAATATTTATTCCGAGCACCCTTTATTTGTATGGTACTTTTTTTTTTTTTTTTTGGCTGATTTAAAATTTCCTCTTTATTACTGGTTTTAAGCAATTAGATTATGATGTGCCTTGGCCCAGTTTTCTTTGTTCCTTGTGTTTAGACCTTGTTTAATTTCTTGGATCTTTTTTTTAAATTTTTTTTTAATGTTTTTATTTACTTCTGAAAGAGAGAGAGAGAGGGAGAGGGAGACAGTGTGAGCAGGGGAGGGTCAGAGAGAGAGGGAGATACAGAATGTGAAGCAGGCTCCAGGCTCTGAGCTAGCTGTCAGCCCAGAGTCCGACGCGGGGCTTGAACCCATGAACGGTGAGATCATGACCTGAGCCGAAGTCGGATGCTTAACTGATTGAGCCACCCAGGTGCCCCTGAATTTCTTGGATCTATGTGTTTTAATTTGCATAAGTTTTTCATCCATTATTTCTTCAAATATTTTTTATGTTACCTCCTGCCTTTGGGGACTTCAGTTGCCCAGATAGTAGGCCACTTGATACCTCAATAGTTCAGTGACATTCTTTTCTTTTTTAAAATTACTTTTTCCCCTGTGTGTTTTTTTGGGGGGTAGTTTCTACACTTGTAGCTCACTGATCTTTTTCTTCTACAGTGACTGATTTGTTGTTACCTCTATCCAGTGCCTTTTTCATCTCACATTGTAGGTTTCATGTCTAGATGTTTGATTTGGGCCTTTTTGAAAAAATACCTTCCATGTCTTTACTTAACTTCTTAAACATATACAAAGTGCAGTTTTATTTATTTTTAAAAACATATATTTTTATTTTACATTTACTTTCTTTTTTTAATTTATTTTTTATTTTTGAGGTAGAGATAGAGTGCAAGCAGGGGAGAGAGGCAGAGGGAGAGAGAAAGAGAATCTTAAGCAGGCTCCACACTCATCACAGAGCCCAGCACAGGGCTCTATCCCATGATCCTGAGTCAAGAATCAGACTCTCAGCTGACTGGGCCACCTAGGTGCCCCTATAATATGGTTTTAATTAAAACTGCTTATGTTTCTAGTAGCTATTCAATAACTATTTTATGTCCTTCTAATTCAAACATGTCTGTCAGTTATGAGTCAGCTTGATTTGATTGATTCATTCATTCATTAGTCTCCTCATTACAAGTTAAGATTTCTTGCCTCTTTGCATACCTGCTAATCTTTGGTTAGATGCCAGATATTGTGAATTTTACCATGTTGGATATTTATAAAGCTTCTTAAGCTTTGTTCTGGTGTGTGGTTAAGCTACTTGAAAACTTTGATCCCTTTGGGTCTTGCTTATGATTTGGTAAATGGATCTGGAGCAGTACTCAGTCTATGGCTAATTACCCAGCCACACGTGAGCACTAAGTACTATCTCCTTTAATCTTTCTGGATGGTTCTTGCCTTGGCCTTTGACAGTTTCCCCACACGCATGTGTTCATCATTCCTCTATCTGACACTCTAGAGTGACCGTCTGTACATTTCGGGAGTTTGTGCACTTTCTCCTCTCTGATACTCTATCCTATGAATTCTAGCCACTTTTGTCCCCTCAGACTCTCAGCTCTGTCTCCGCAACTCAAGAGGTCTTCTGGGCTCCTTTATTTCCCCCTCTTCTGCTGTGGCCTGGATAATCTCAAGGTGGTAAGCAGGGCTACTGATAGGGTTCACTAAGTTTGTTTCCTACCTCAGGGATCACTGTCTTTTGTTGTCTGATATGCATCATCTTAAAAACCAGCCTTCCATGTGGTTTGCTTATGGGGACTTCGTTTTTGTTTTTATGGTTGTTTAAAGGGGTAGGGTAAATCTGATCCCTGTTTTTCCATCTTGGTCATAGGCATATTTTATATGTAGTTAACACTGATTTTAAATAGTTATTGGTGTTAATCAAGTAGATTGATGTACACCTAAAGGCATTTTGTCATATTTAGCTTTGCTTGTCAGCCATTCCCCCCTACCCGGGAAAGCCACCATGGAATACAGTTGGTAAGTTAATGAGGTGAAGGGATCCTCCCCCACCCACCCCTATGGATGAGAGGACCCCAAAGGCCAGGAGCGGCCCAGCAGGTGAGGTTCTTTGTTACTCCAAGAGGTTCTGGAGCTCTTCCTATGCCACTTCTCTGGATCCATTTTTTTGGCAGCGAGTGTCTAACATCATACCCCTCCCTTGGACTACGTCCAAATTCATTTAGGCCCAGCCTTCCTGTGGTTTACCGAAAGATCTCTTGCTCTTTGAAAAGTTCCTTCAGACTTAATTTCTGGTGAAACAGCTAAAGAGCATCATGGCTTTAAAACATAGTTTTGAATAAACAAAGAAAAATAATCACATTACACTATGTCATCCCATTATAGTTTGAAAGGGTGCATTTCCATATGCTCTCATAAACTTTCTTATGCTGCTTCCATATGGCTTTTTAGTAGTACTTGAACCACACAAACAGAAAATTTGTTTAGATCTAAAAATGCTCTTCCCCCCTCATATGGCTTTAAACAGTGGATAAAGCCACCCTGCTTCAATACTGAAAGTTTTATAGACTCCTGGCCACTAGGTGGTAGTATTGGCAGTGCGTTGACCAGTGAGCTTTACCTACTTTCTGTATACACTTCCTACTTGAGGCTTCTATAAATATGTAAACAATTTAAAAATAAAGTGGGAAATTTTGAAATTAAAAAAAAAAAAACAAGCAAAATAACATTCTAATTGGTTGAAAATAATGAATTTTACCACTATTGGTTATAGTTATATAAAGGTAGGTAATTTCAAGTGCTGTAAATTCACTTTTTAATTATGAAGCCCTGGAAAATATAATTCTGATAATTCTATGATGTTACCCACTTGTATGTGTAACAATGTGATTGGATTGAAATTACAGAGTACTGTAAGGCATATTAAATAATAGTTATATGTTACTTAGTACTTCGGGCTATAACTCATTACTTTAGACTCCCTAAAAGATGTTAAGACTTGAACTCTAAGTAAAAGTTTCTTAACTTAAAGTATCTTAAATTAAAAGGTGCTATTCGAGTTTCTGTTTTTTCCTAATATTTCTAGATTAAAAGGTCTTTGTTTTAAGTTTATTTATTTATTTTGAGAGCACATGTGTACAGGAGAGGAGCAGAGAGAGAGGGAGAATCCCAAGCAGGCTCCATGCTGTCAGTGCAGAGCTGGATGCAGGGCTTGAACTCACCAACCATGGGATCATGACCCAGGATGAAACCAAGAGTCGAGCGCTTAACTGACTAAAACACCCAGGTGCCCTAAAAATTCAGTTTTTGGTTTGAGGATCAAAAAGATTTTGTGTATGACTTGGCTTGTGCATAAAATAGACACATTTATTATGTACTAAAACTTGGATGTCTGGAAACCTCAAGGAATGAGTTCTATAGAAGAGCTGAGTTTCTCAACAGAATTATCTCTTTAGGCACTATTTTCTTCCAGTTTCCAGTGAAGGTTATCCTAAAGTATATGCCATATTTTCCTGCTTCCTAAATTGAGCCATTAAAAGAGTTTGCCCTTTCTTGATGAGTCAAGGTTCTTCCTTTGAGTATCAGATTTTTCTCTCTTTGTACAGAAATGCCTTAACAGCCTGTCAGGGTATATTCTTTGCCCCTATGTTGAATGACCCCAGACTACTGTGTCTTTGAGTTCTTGTGACTGTTTTTTATGGAAATTTTTTGTTGTTGTCTTGCTGTCATTTTTGGTTGCCAGTGATTAACAATTTTTGTCATTTTTTATTGTTGTTCTTGATTATAATTCAATAATGATACTTTGTGTGAATGTGAAAGATAAATATAGTCAGTCTGTGAGTCTTTGATACACATGGGCTTTAGTATGTGAATTCTGTAATTTTTAGATATTCAGTGCCATATAAAATATCTGGTTCTAGAATGTGTATCTATCAAAAATATCTAGATATTTAGAGGTGATGGGTGGAATCAGAAAAATGGGGTAAGTGCGTGTGTTTTTTTGGCCCCTTCTCTGGCCCTCCTGTCTCTAATTAGGAGCCCCGTTGTGCAGGATGGGGTAAATACCTGACACTGTTATCCTGGTGAAGGCAGACAGTACTCCTTTAAGTCCTTACTATTTCTCTTCCTTTTTATTTTTCTACTTCCCTATCCACTTTCTCTGTTTTGGATTTTGTTCTCAGTGCTTTATTATTTTTCCATTGGACTCTCTTCTTCATAGCTTTTGGTGATAATGTTACACACTTTGATATAAGCCTTCAAGCAGTATTAGGCTTAAAAAGCTGGTGACACCTTTTGAAAGGTTTAGCGATAATTGAGTAGTAAGAATAATTCCCACTACTTGAGTGATTTAAAAAAAACCAAACATATAGTTAGTTATTTTCATAAGATTTGCAGTTTTGTTTCTTGTGGCAATTGACCAGTTCTAACTTTGGCAATTACATTTAGCCGTTAAATTTTCTCCTCCCTCCCCCCCTTGCCTCTCACCACCCTCGTTTCCTTTGGATTTTTCACTTCCTTTCTTTGTTTACTGCACTCCTGCTCATAGTTGCCTGCATTCATGTGGAATAAATGATTCATGTCCATAATTCTTGGTCCCTAGGAGATAAAAATTTTATGCAGTAATGTTATTGATTATGTTTCCTTCATTGTCTATAATGTGCTTTGTGTGGCACCTCTAGGCACATAGCTCCCAGGTTAAGTACATATTTGAATATTTTCTGAGACTCCTAATTTATAGTGTGAATATTTAATTAGTCTACATCCTAAGACAAGTTGTTAACTGGGCACTTTGTATATAGCAAGAACACTTGAATTCAACCTTTTTTAGGAAGGAAGGGGCAAATTTGGGAGACCCCTAGTGTAATGAATTTTACATTCCACCAGTGATACACAGAATTTGGCAGAGATTAAATGTGTATGTGTGATTTTATTGTATTGATTTCAAGACCACAATTTTTGTGTGAAACACATGGTATTCTGCCTCTGCAGCACACGTCCCCCAGCGCTACCTCCACGCCCACCTGCAGCATTTACACGGAATGTAACCTTTTGCCTACATCCATAGTCAAAATGAAAGAAGCATAACCTTGAAGTTGCTGGGTTATTTCAATCCTCCTAGCAAACAGCTTTTGTGGTTCACTAATGGAAATAGCTCAGACTTTGGAGCGGAAGAATTGCAGTTGGGCGCCTCAGTAATGGATGGATTTGCTGCTTAGAATCTTCCTTGAGGGAAAGGAAGTGCACTGCCTGTGCCATGTGCAGTGTACTGTGCCATCAATTTAATGACAGACTTCCTAAAAATCATTTCGGCCTTTTTTGCTATGTATTTCTTTAGTCCCTGTTGGTCAACTTTAATTTTTCTCCTTTGTGGTAGTTTGTGACAGTTAATGGTCTCATTCCAAACTAACTGAACTTCGTATTGATCACTTTGTAGTCCCTTTGCAGTGCAGGCAACATCATGATGCATTAGCCTGAGTGAGCGTGTGTATGTAACATCACTACTAGTGTGTTAGAAATGGGAAGAAAAAACACCAGAAAGACCCTAAAGACCTAGGTTCCACTCCTGGCTCTCTCTGCCACTGACCTGACTAGATACGTGAATTTTTCATTAAATCTTTCTGGGCCTTAGTTTTCGATGCTATCTTTGAAATGATATTGGATTGGATAATGTCTAAGTCAGTTCTTGATTTAAAATTCTTTGCCCTTCTGTGTACAGTAAAACACTCAGCTTAACATCTCAGTAGTTATATTTGGGGAGTTAGAGGGGAACTTGATTTGGCATTCTCTTAGTGCTCTTTTAGTAGTAGAATTGTTTCATGTACAAATATACTGAAAAAAGTGGGTTTTCTTTTTTTCCAGGACAGTGGCTTTGTCCATATTCATACTCCAATAATCACATCCAATGACTGTGAGGGGGCTGGAGAACTGTTCCAAGTTGAAGTAAGTTGTGCTTCCCATCTTGAAGGATAGGCTGCTCTTCAATATTGTTCTCTTGTGGGTTTGCTTTAAATTTAATAAGAGTTGTATGGATAGACCATGACTAGAATCTGAAGTTTTGTCAGTAGTAATCCTTAAAAAAATATAGAAACCTCTATAGAAAATTCAAACCTCTCTGATTTCCTGTCCTACTGGCTATCTTACTTGCATTGTGACTCAAAGGAATGGTCTTTAATTTAGTACTCCATCGGCTTTCCTTCTACAGCTGTGAATTGGTGAACTAGAGAAATCTGAAGAGATTCATAAAGATTTTAATATCTCTTGTGCACGTTAAGCCCTAGTTAATATTTTTGGATGTAAGTCATATCTTAAAATAAAATAAGAAAGTACACATTGGATATTTTCTTTTCCAAAGTCTTTAAAGAACACGCATTTTCATAAGAAATGTATACCTCATGTCTACCTCATGAAGCCTCTGATTTTATTTTTTATCTTTTAAAGTTTATTAATTTATTTTGAGAGATAGAGAAAGCATGATTCGGGGAGGAACAGAAAGGAGGAATCCCAGGTAGGCTCTGAGCTGTCAGCATGGAGCCTGATACAGGGCTCAAACCCACGAACTGTGAGATTATGACCTGAGCCAAAGTTGGACACTTAAATAACTAAGCCGCCCAGGCCCCCCCATGAAGGCTCTGATTTTAATTCTTTGTTCAGCAATAATTCTTTGAGCTTCTGGTATATGCCAGGCATTGTCAGCTTGCCCTTGTTGCACGTTATTGAAAGTTACCAGGGTTTTTTTGTTGTTTTTTTTACTTTTAGGCAGTTGAAAACCATTCATTTATCAATTTCATAGCCTGTTTAAAATCATTAGCCAGTAATACAATGATGGACAAAGGGAAATGTATATTGATAAATGGTGCTTTTTGTATTTCTTTCATTTATTCCGTGATTTCTTTATCTCTGAGAAGTCAGGATTCTTATTTATACATCTTGATGATTCCATCAAATGGCAAGACCTGTATATAATTGCTGTGCTCTGGTTCAGTACATCCTGACTCTTGATGTGTTGAGGTCATTATTCAAAATGATAATTAAATGCTCTCTGTATTCATACATAGTTTGAGGAAATCTTGATAGTTGTCCTTTTGCAAAAAAGCAGAATAAAAATGCTTCGTTGAACATTGAAACTGGGAGTGTTAGCGTCTATAAATGTGAGTTCAAAAAAGGCAGCATATGATAAAAGAACAATACATACCTTGTGAAAAACATTCTCTTCTAGGCATTTATGTTGTTTATTTTCTCTTTGCGCCTTAACAGTCTTCTGAATATTGAAGTGATGAATTACCTACCTTAACTACATTGCATAGTCCCTTAATCTAAACCACTGAATATTATTTTTAAAATGACAGGGAAGGAAAGGTATAATTTAAAGGGGTTTTTACAAATAAGAAGGTAATTATTAAAGAGACCCAAATTAAACAAGTAAAAAAAAAATCTGTAACAAACTGAAATAATGATACATTTGGAGGTAACTACTTTGCTACTGGGGAAATCCCATAAGCAAGTCTGAATGATTATAGTCTGTGTATTTTGGCTTTTAAACAACATAAGGCAAGTTACCAGATAAGTATAAATATAGAGGAAGGGGAAAATAGAGATTTCTGAAGCTCAACAAATGAGAAGTGTTCACTGTCTGTAGCATTTCAGGGCCAGGTTAAAGAATTTCATACAGTGGAATTAGACTTGCCTGTACAGGATAGCAGAAAGAAATGCTCTTAAATTCGTTGATCCTAGACCCCTGCAGTCAGGCTTTAGATCAGGTTTGAGCAATTGGTGGCTTTTGTGCTATGACCTGCAGTCTTTGTTGCTTCCAGAAGTTTGGTGTTTTAAGGCTTGTCTTCTGCTCCTGCTGCCCCTCTATCCTTTGAAAGCAGTACTCCTTATTCCCACATCACACACCTGTGTTCAGTACTGATTCCAAGTGTCGTTTGTTAATTTCCTTCTGACTGCATGTAAGGTCACTGGGGTTTGAGTCTTGGCACCCTACTGTCAGGAGGAAGTAGAGTTTCATATTTAAATTCTTCTCTTAATAGCGCTCTCTTTTGCTGTGATAACAATGAGGTGTTCGCAACTATTTAAAGTTAAGGATGCCTAGTCCACACCCAAGTTTGAGGACAGCAGTAAATGGCCACCTTGAAATGCACCGCAGAAGCACAGGCTTCTCTTATACACTCTTGAGAGGTGATAGCGTGTCCCAGCATTTTAGTTCCCTTTTTCTTCACTTCTGTTTTCTGCTTTAAGACTTTGGATATTTGTTAAGGTTTTGGTACTACTGAACACATATGGAGGAAGTTGCATTCAGGGTTGTGTATGTTATTCAGCAGACATTTGTACCACCTGTGTTCAAGATGCTAGCTTGTCTCTGAGAAGATAAAAGAGATTAAAGCCAAGAATTAGAGATTATGACAAAAATTAGCTGTTTGTTTTGTAAGGTGAAACTGCTTTATGTATGTATTTGAGGTTACAGTGTCACCAAGTACAAGTGGCATGGAATCTAGAGGAAAATTATGTCCATGAGGATCGACTTGGTCAGGAAAATCTTCAAAATGAATTTGTGACTTGAGTATAACCTAGGGAGTATATTTCTTGTAGGGGAACACTGTGAATTGAGTCAAGTAATTGAAATGAGTGTGGGGTTTTCCTTGGATTCTGGATGAACAAATTAGAAGGTGTATATTGGTACATGATAGAAGATAAAGTTGGATAGCTATAGGAATGAAAAGATAGAGCAGGTTTTTATAAAACAACTTTATTGAGATATAGTTTACATACCATAAAATTTACCCACTTAAAACATATACTTCCATGGTTAGTATATTCATAAGATTGTGCAGCCATCAGTTACTGCAAACTAATTTTAGGCCTTGTCATCACCCCAGAATGAAACCTGGTATCCATTCGCGGGCCCTTCCCATTCCCGCCCCCCAGCTTTAGGTAACCACTAAACTACCTTCTATAGATTTGCCTTTTGGGGAGCATTTCATATAAACGAAATCATACAGCATTTCTTGCCTTTTTTTCACTTAGCACAAAGTTTCTGAGGTTCATTCATGTTTTAGCATTTATCAGTACTTCATTCCCTTTCATATTCAACTAGTATACTCTGGTGTAGATCTACACATTATGTTTATCCATTTGGCAGTTGATTAGTATTTGGGTTGTTTCTACCTTCTGGCTGTTATGAATAATGCTACTATGAACATTTGTGAAAACATTTCGATGAACATATGATTTCATGTCTCTTGGGTGGAATTGCTGAGTCATATGGTAATACTGTATTTAATATTTTGAGAAGCTGCCAAACCACTTTCCAAAGTGCCTGTACCATTTTAGTTTACCACCAGCAGTGCATGAGGGTTCCAGTTGCTCTACATCTTTGCCAACCCTTATTATTGCCCTTTATTGTTGTTTTTTTTTAATATAGCTATACTCAGAGGGTATGAAGTTGTATTTCATTGTGATTTGCTTTTTGCCTTTGACCATTTGCAATTTATATGTAAATGTCTAATTCACATTTAAGTTTTTAAAATTACAATTCTGTTCTGCCAAAATGTGATAGATAAATGGTTTACACATTATGAAATTAAATTAGGCTGAGAAAATCTAAGAGTAATACTTCATATAATAGGAATATTATTCAAGCCTAGAAATTATACATTTAAGTACTGTTTAAAGCTAAGAATGAACTCAAAGTGTAAGCCTATTAAATGGAACCCAAGAAGATGTGTAATTTCATATCTGAATCTCATACTGTGAGGAGTCTCATACTAAGATTCTCATACTGAATCTTACACTGTATATTGAAGTTTGGCATTAGATTGGTTTGCTTTTGTGTTTGTGTGTTTGGTGATACATGTAACATAAAACTTACCATTTTAACCATCTTTAAGTGTACAATTCAGTACCATTAATTCTATTTACAGTGCTATACAACCATTACTACTTAAAACTTCTTCATCACTCCAACAGAAACTCTGCAGCAGAAGCTCTTCATTCCCCTCTCCCCCTGCCCCTAGTAACCTCTAATCTGCGTTTTCACTCTATGGATTTCTTGTTCTGGATATTTCATATAAATGGAATCATACAATATGTGGCTGTTTGTGTCTGGCTTCTGTTGTAGCATGTGTTGAATTTCATTTCTTTTTATTACTAAATCATATTATACTGTGTGGATATACCATATTCTATTCAACCATTTATTCATTGGTGGACGTTAGGTTGTTTCTACCTTTGGCTCTTATGGATAATGCTGCTCTGAATATTTGTGTACAAGTTTTTGTTTGAACACTTGTTTTTGGTCCGTTTGAGTATATACCTCGGAGTGGAATTGCTGGGTCATATGGTTCTTCAACATTTAACTCTTGGAGAAACTGCCAAATTAATTTTCCACATTGGTTGTACTATATTATATTCCCAGCAGCAGTGTGTGAGGCTTTCACTTGCACTGCCTCATCGCCAATGCTTGTGATTTTCAGTTTCTGATTATAGCCATTCTAATGGATGCAGTATCTCATTGTGGATTTGATTTGCACTTCCTTAATGATAAAGAATGTTGAGCATCTTTTCATGTTCCTGTTGGTCATTGTGTATCTTTGGAGAAATGTCAGCTTAAGTCCTTTGTCAATTTTTTAATTGGCTTATTTGTCTTTTTGTTTTGAGTTATAGAAGTTCTTTTTCTTTTCTAAAAACAAGTGTATCCCCTCCATCTCTCCAGCAATGTGAAGCTTCTGATGTTGCTCTTGGGTAGCACACCCTTGGTATGCCCATAATCGCTCAGAGATGGCATTAATTCTGGCTGGGCTCTCTGGCAGCCTCTTTCCCAGAGCACACCCAGCTCTTAAACTTCACCAATTCCAGGGTGATTGCACCATTGTTTTCAACAGTATTCTGGAGCATAAATTGCTTCACACACTGATCCAGTCAAATCCAGACTCCTTTAAAGG